TGATGCCATGGCACTCTACCCAGGGGGATAGCTTGAGGCTCCGCCTCAAAAAACAAAAATAAAATAAAGAATTATTCTACCCAACATAAGGAGTTGTAAAAATTTCAGAATAATATCATCACCACAATACTGTTTATTATCAATCTTGCCCTTCATGACATCAGACTTGGCCAACTGCTGACACATAAAGGGCAATAGCGCTTCCTTTCAGTTAGAAATAGTAAGAAATCTTTAAATACTATGTATCAACTCATAAAGGGTGCCACACTGTGAGAGTTAAGTATCTATGAGATGTCAGTAAAAATTATGAGATTAGGATGTCATGAGATTAGCATGTTGACTATCTATAGCCTGGATGTCTCAAACCTGTCTAAGTACCTTCAAAGAAACTCTCTAAAATATTTCTGCTCCTGCCCCGAAGCACTGAGATCAGACTTGCATCTCATCTACAACAACCTGACCGTTACCACTGTGTTCCCAAAGTCAAGGAAGAATCAATATTATAGCCTACTTTCATGTTCTTTGGGGGAAGGTCTCCTAAATCCTAACCTAGTTCAAGAAATAAAAATGACCTGGCTGTTTGTACCCTCACATTAACCTGAAATTTAAAAAAAAAAAAAAGACCCGGCGCCTGTAGCTCAGTCACTAGGGCTCCAGCCACATACAACAGAGCTGGCAGGTTCAGATCCAGCCTGGGCCTGCCAAACAACAATGACAACTACAATAAAAAAATAGCCAGGCATTGTGGCAGGTGCCTGTAGTCCCAGCTACTTGGGAGGCTGAGGCAAGAGAATTACTTAAGCCCAAGAGTTTGAGGTTGCTGTGAGCTATGACGCAAGGCACTTTACTGAGGACGACATAGTGAGACTGTGTCTCAAAAAAAAAAGTAAACATGTCTAAGTATCAGTAAGGGATTGTTCCAACTCCTCTATGTTTTGATGCCTTTCTTAAATTAAAAAAAAAAAAATTGGGGGTGGCACCTGTGGCCAAAGGAGTAGGGCGCCGGCCCCATATGCCGGAGGTGGCGGGTTCAAACCTAGCCCTGGCCAAAAACAGCAAAAAAAAAAAAAAAAAAAAGTTGGGTGGCATCTGTGGTTTAGTGGGTAGGGTACCAGCCACATACACGGAGGGTGGCGGGTTTGAACCCGGCCCCAGAGAGCTAAAACAACAATGACAACTGCTATAACAACAAAATAGCCAGGTGTTGTGGTGGGCACCTGTAATCCCAGCTACTAGGGAGGCTGAGGCAAGAGAATAGCTTAGCCTAAGAGTTTGAGGTTGCTATGATGCCACGCACTCTGCGGAGGGCACAAAGTGAGACTCTGTCTCAAAAAAAAAAAAGTTGCTTAAAAAAAAAAAGAGAGAGAAAGAGAGAAAGAAAGGCCCTAATAAGCGTGACATTTAAGGGTGCCTGTAGTCCCAGTTAACTTGGGGGGCTGAGACAAGAGAATCGCCTAAGCCCAGGAGTTGAAGGTTGCTGTGAGCTGTAACACCAGAGCACTCTACCAAGGGCAACGAAGTGAGACTCTGTCTCTTAAGAAAAAAAGAAAGAAAGAAAAGAATGACATTTATAAAAAGAAAAAACACCAGGTCTGTGGCTGTAATCCTAGTACTCTGGGAGGCTGAGGAGGGAGGATCCCTTGAATTTAGGAGTTCAAAACCAGCCTGGACCAGCCTGAACCAGCCTGAGCAAGAGTGAGATCCTGTCTCTACTAAAAATAGAAATATTAGTTAGGCATTGTGGCAGGCATCTGTAGTCACAGCTATCCAAGAGGCTCATAAGGCAGGAGGACTGCTTTGAATCCAGGGGTTTGTGAGCCAGGCTAGCCTGGTCAATACAGAGGAGACTCTGTCTCCACACACACATACACACATACAAAATGCTACTTAGTTGAAAGAAGTAACTGAGCAGTCAGCCTCTGGAGCCAGCATGCCTAGCTTACTATGTGATCTTGAGCAAGTTGTTTTTAGCTACATACTCCCCCCACTTTCCTCTTCTGTACAATGGGAATAGCAACAAGAACAATCTCATAGTTGTTGAAGACTAAATGAGTTAAATCACGTAAGGCAGTAAGAATTTGACTGTTTTTAACCAAATAGATGGATGAAAATGCAGTTTTGATAACACTCTCTTGATGAGACTGTTGGAAGACAAGCAGTCTCATACACTACTTAGTACTAAGCCTTATGGAATGCAATTTGGATATCTCACTTTTGAGAATTTATCCCATTGATATTCCTGTACAGGTGGAAAAAGACAGGTATACTAGGTTTTCTATTTCATACCAGAAATGCCCATCAAAAGAGATGATTAGATCTCTTTTGTCAAGAATGTCAAATTCATGGCATGGAACACTTATGTAGTACTTCTTAAAAAACAGAATGAGGGCTCGGCGCCTATAGCTCAACCGGCTAAGGCGCCAGCCATGTACACCTAAGGTGGCGGGTTCGAATCTCCAGCCAGCCAAAACAACAATGACGGCTGCAACCAAAAAATAGCCAGGCGTTGTGGCAGGCGCCTGTGGTCCCAGCTACTTGGGAGGCGGAGGCAGGAGACTCGCTTGAGCCCAGGAGTTGGAGGTTGCTGTGAGCTGTAATGCCAAGGCACTCTACCCAGGGGGACAGCTTGAGACTCTGTCTCAAAAAAAAAAAAAAAAACAGAATGAGGACACTTAATTTAGTGATAAGAAAAGACATCTAAGTAAAAAATGTAAGATGTATAAAAGAGCAAGTTAACCTCTGCACAAAAAGAAACTGAAAAATGAGGAAACATACTCATCTTTGATTATTTTGCACTAAGAGAAATTACTGACAATGGCAAAGAACTAAGCAGACAGGAGACTGGATAGGAGGGAAAATTCAAACTGCATATAAACATATATTTTTTTTACCTATATAAATATCTTACATATTCAAAAATTAAATTTTTAAAGTATTTTTAAAGTGTTAGGGATACAGCTGAAGAGCTCAAATGTTAGCTGCAATTACTATGTTGCTGTTGTTAGCAAGCTCAAAATACCTCCTTTCTGAAGCCTTTTTCAAACTGCCTGGACACAGAAGGTTCCTCTCCCTCCTCTCACTCCCAGACTATTATTTAAGGAATTTATGACTTTCTACTCTAGTGTAAATGGATTCAATGTCTCATTTATTTTTAATATCCCATGAGCCCAATTTGTACATAGTATGTACATTTTGGAGTAACAGTAACCTACAACTTTTCTGAAGAAGAAAAGTGTGATAATTTCCAAAAAGATTACATTCTATCATTAACTATAAGACCTGAAAATTGAAAAAGTTGAATAACTGGGTTTGCTAGTGATCTTTTAACTTCTGCCCAGCCTAAATCTCCCCTTTACCACTTTTTTTTTTCAACATTGTCCCTGACATTGACATCACATTCCAAGCCAAGACCCTATGACCTGTCTGTAACTCACAGCAAACTCTGAAATGTTGTCTTTTCTCATAAATCCCAACACTTGATCCGTCGCTCCTGTCAAAAATGGATGCACTTAAAAATGCACTTGTCACCTTTTAGACAAATGCTCACATATTAATCAGTGAACAAAGCACCCATAACTGGAGAAGACCTAACACGTGATGCCTAATTCCTTCAGTGTTTTGTTTGTTCTTCTAGTATGGAGGGTATTCTATAACTTACTGCTCAGTAGCCCAATTCTGGATGTCATTCCAGCACACCAAATACTCCACTGACAGCTCAACAGTCACTTTTCATACAAGCTCCTCCCCATCCCTCCTCCTTCAACCCCCATCAGCTTAAGAGCTCTTTCCCTCATACTGACAGACACACAGTTCAGAAGCCCTTCTCCCCTTGCGTCCTTCCCAGCAATTGCAAGACCACCTCCCCAACTCTCATCGTCTCGCGACCCAATTCCGTCCCAATATCACCCCGCTCCCCGCCGATCCAAATCTCTCTTCAAAGAACTGGGCAGCTTTGCAGCCTTTCCCAACAAGTACACAATTGACAGCTTGACTCCAGATTCCCCAAATACCCTTTCCTGCTCCCTCCCGTCCTACTCCATACACCGGTTCTTTTCTCACTATCACTCACCCACCCTGGCTTCCCCCAAAATTCACAGCCCCATTCCCTAAACATGCTCACTGCTCTCCCCGTCTCCCCACCCCCTTCCACCGCTGACAGCTCAGTCACCTCCATCCCCATGTGGCTGCAACCTCCTCCACACTCTTCCCTTGACAGTTCAGGGTCGGCTCCCGGTCCCCTAGTCTTGGCTGCTGCCAGTGGCCCCCGCCCAGGGTCGCTCACCAGGGGGCTAGGAATCAACTCACCCACTCTCCCGCATCACATTGCTGTCCCCACAGTCACAGGCACCCCCAGCCTGGCTGCGGAACATATTGAAGTCGTGCCCGGTGTGGTCGCCTTGGTGGAAGCACTCGGCGCACAGGGACATGCAGGGGGAGATGCCGCACGTCCGGCAGCGGTAGGCCACGAAGTTGGCTGTCCATACCAGGCCGCAGAGCGCCGCGGGGTCGTAGGCCCGCACCGCAGCGCAGAACTCGTCATAGCCGCCGCCGCCGGCCAAAAGGCACTTACACCACTCCAGGGCCTCCTCCTCGGCCGCCCCCGGACCGCCCCCGCCGCCGGCCGCCGCCTCCTCGCCGCCAGCAGCAGCGGCCAGCGGCCGCTCGGCGCTCAGCACCCGCTCCAGCAGCGCCCGCAGCTCCTCAGCACCTGCCCGGTTGTCTGGCCGGCTGAGGGCCGCCTTCAGGTGAGCGGCAGTGGCTGCCTTGTCTAGGGCCAGTCCCGACGCGGGGAGTTCCTGCTGGGACGCCTGCTGGCCCCCGACTGCCGCTGCGGCCGCCGCCGCCATGATGAGAGCTCAGAATTTGGAGAGTCCAGGGCCGGCGGCTCCTCGGGGAGGGTGCGGGAATTGACTGCTGCGATTGCTCGGCCCGCCCAACTCTCGCGATACTCTGGAGCCGCCGCGCACCTCCGCCGGCGTCCCCGCCCCTGCACACGCCCCCCGCGGGCAGCCGCGCCTTCTCCCGCCGCTCTGGGCTGCCTCAGTCTCTTCCCCCAATCCCCTCCTAGGCTTTCAACTTTCAAAGTTGAGAGCTGCCGAGATAAGGGGTTCACCTTAAGGAAAATCTTTAATAAGGACAACTTTTTCTTTATTTGCAATAGACTACAGGAATTATACACAGTATCTTTCAGATGTGTTTTAAGCATTTGCATTTCGTTTGACATGTAAATTTCTATTGTTATCAAAGTCTACTATTATTGAAGCAGCCTTCTAATTTTTCCCCCTCTTCCCCCCTGCTTCGTCTTAACTCTCACACTATTACCAGGATAATCTTCTAAAGTACTTCCTTTCTGTCATTCTCCTGTTCAAAACCTTTAGTGAAAAAAAACCATACTCCTTAGATCTTCACTCAACCCAGCCAACAGGTACATTGCATGGGTATATGACACACTATCTGGGTGTACGACTCACCTATCCTACATTAACCTTACAAATGCAAACTATGGAATCTGTTTGTACCCCCCACATTAATCGGAAATTTAAAGAAAAAATCTTCAGGGCGGCGCCTGTGGCTCAAAGGAGTGGGGCGCCGGCGCCCCATATAAGGAGGTGGCGGGTTCAAAGCCAGCCCCGACCAAAAACTGCAAAAAAAAAAAAATCTTCAAGGCCAAGCGCGGCAGGTCACGCCTATAATCCCAGCACTCTGGGAGGCCGAGGCGGGTGGATTGCCTGAGTTCACTGGTCAGAGACCAAAGTGAGCCAGAGGGAGACTCCATCTCTTAAAATAGCATTGTGGCTTTGTGGTAAGCACCTGTACTTGGGAAGCTGAGGCAAGAGAATCGCTTGATTCCCAAGTCTGAGGTTGCTGTGAGCTATGACACCACAAAAAATATATATATCTTCACTCAAAACCCACCATAATCACAAATCTCCGGACATTGCCTTATATTTATATTATATTCTCATCCTTATCTCCTGATGGTACTCCAGGTTTGCCATATAGAAAAAGACCAATAGGCCCGTTTTCTGAAGATGTTTTATCATGTCCTGCCTCTGGATCTTTATTGCTCCCAGTTCTTATTCTAGGACAGCCCACACACTCAACCTCACATCCTATTCTAGCCACCTCTACCCAACTAATTTCCTTACTTTAAGAAAAAAAAAGGGGGGTTGCCTGTGGCTCAAGGAGTAGGGCACCAGTCCCATATACGGGAGGTGGCAGGTTCAAACCCGCCCAGCCAAAAGCTGCAAAAAAAAAAAAAAAGACTTAGTGAAATGTCTGGAGGCTGAGGCCAGGGAATTGCTTGACCCTGGGAGTTGGAGGCTGTGGTGAGCTGTGATTGTGCCATTAGATTGCAGCCTTGGCGACAGAGCAAGACCCTATCTCTAAGAAGAAAAGAGAGAGAAATAAAAAAAAGGCTCAAACTTAATTTGATGATATCCTTGCCTTGATTTGTAAAACTCTTATCCCAACCTCATTACTAATGGTAAATTTCTTCTTTTTATTGCTGATTAACATAAGGGTCCATATGATTAGGTTACATTGTTTGTGTTTATTAGGAAAAGTTGCATTTAAGTCCTTCACCCAGATGGGCCAAATACCCCTGCATTGTACCTGTTAGGTACAAACTTACTGAACCCCTTTCCTCTCTTCCTCCTCCCCACTACTTGAATTTTTTTTGTTTTTTCTGAGACAGAGTCTCACTTTGTTGCCCTCAGTAAAGTACTGTAGCATCATAGCTCACAGCAACCTCAAACTCTTGGGCTAAAGCTATCCTCTTGTCTCAGCCTCCCTCATATCCGGGATGACAGGTGCCAGACACAATACCTGGCTATTTCTTAGAGAAAGGGATCTCTCTCTCTTTCTCTCTCTCTCTCTCTCTCTTGCTCAGGCTGGTCTTGAACCTATGAGCTCAGGGCAGTCCACTGACCTCAGCCTCCCAGAGTGCTACGATTACAAGTGTGAGCCACAAGCCCCAGCCACTACTTTAATTTAATTGTGTTTTTTCTCATGTGGGAGCTTTTGTGGTTCATCTACTAGTTTCAAATTAGTATTTAGTACATGGGCTGCTTGTTTTTCCACTCTTGAGATCCTTTACTAAGGAGAATGTTCTTCAACTCCATCCAGGTAAATACAAAAGATATAAAATCTCCATTTTTTTTTTTT